ACTTAAATAGTCTTTTGTTGCAAAATGTAATTTTGATAGTGCTTTTGAGGAATATGCTGCATTTACCATTTACCATATTACCTTGCATTTCTACACAATTCAGTGTTGCTTCTTTTTATTTTTAAGCTCTACGAGATTTATTTGATTCTATGGACAAAACTTCCTCCAGTATCCCTCCCATCATTCTTCTCCAGTTTTTACATATGGCCTTTCCGCAGTTTGCAGAGAAAGGAGATCAAGGCCAATATCTTCAACAGGTAAATACTTTTTATTTTTTTTATTTTTTTGTAGGCTGCATATTTTATCCAAAAATGTATCTCTCGTTTTACCGCTCCCATATGTTTCAGTTGTGATGCAATCATGTAGACATTTCACACGTTACAATAAATTCAAAATTAAAAGCTATATTTTTATGATTCTTTAGCAGCTTCTAGTTCTGGCTGCTGAAGAAAACATTTTAGAATAAACATGAAGTAAGAAAATGTTTCTCATTTGTATATATGTGTGTGTGTGTGCGTGCGCACACATGTGTGTTTGTATGTACATATACACACACCCACAAAATATATATTTTTGTTGAATTCCAGTGATCTAACTTCAGTTTTTTATCTTATATTTAGGATGCCAATGAATGCTGGGTACAGATGATGCGAGTACTGCAGCAAAAGTTAGAAGGTATAGAAGGTGATGCAGTAATGGAGGTAAGTCTTAGCCATACTGTATGGAAATAACTGAGACTAACTCTGGGTTGTGGCAGAGTTTTTACAATCAGTGTTAGCAACTACTGACTTTCACAGCAATAAAAATATAAGTTGATTGCAGGTAAATTGTTGAGAGTGCCTTAAGACATGGGTTAACCTTTTTGTTCCATGGACCCCTTTGAGACTCTGTGAAACCTGTGGACCTCTTCTCTGAAAAAATGTATTTAAATTCATAAAAGAAAAAAAAAGCATAGATTGTATTTCAAAGGAAATTATGCTCAAATACAGTTATCAAAACATAAACAAAATAACCATTATGTATTATAGTAATAGATGTGCTTTACTAATTTTTACTGAGAAAATGTAAATAGTCACCCATCTTAAATACAGTGAACAATCAGTATACAAACATATAAAAACCCCATAACCAAAATTAAAAATAATCCAATAAAGAAAAGAAAAACTGAGGCACTATATAACAGTTTCACCAAAAAACACACGTATTTAGCTCCCCAACATCCTGGCCTCTGGAAAAAGCCAGGTCTTAAGAGCCTTCCAGAAGGCCAAGAGGGCAGTGCCCTCCAAATCTCAGGTGTGGAGGTTCCATTGTAGGACAGGTGCTGCTACAGAAGGCCATTTTGTGGGACCAAGGAGATGATTAATACCCTAGTTAATGTTATTAAAAGCTGCTGAGAGATCTAGGAGGGCAGGGATGGATGTACCACCTTCATCTCAGCCCTTCAGAGGTTATCCACAAGCACAACCAATGTTTTCTTACTATAACCCAGCCTGAAAACCAACTGAAAAGGGTCCACATAATCTTCTTCCAGGCCCCCAGAAGCTGTGTACCTACCACCTTCTCAACAATCCTCCCTAAAAAAGGAAAGCTGAAAACAGAGCAAAAATTGTCCATAGTTTTGGGTTCAAGGATGGCTTCTTGAGGAGGGGACTGACCCCTCCTTCAAAGCAGGTAGAACAACCCACTCCTTTAAAAAAGCTTTCACTGTCAACTATATATCACCTCCCAGTTGGCCTTAACCAACTAAGAGGGACATGGATCTGAACACAGGTGGCATAGCTCAAAGCTCCAACAACCCTGTCCACTTTCTCAGGGCTAACCAGGTGAAACTCATCTCGGATATCTGGGCAACACTATGCCTCAGTCACTTCCATAGGATCTGCCTAACTAGAGTCCAGTTCCAAGCAGATCTGAACAACTTTGTTCAACAGTTCCCTAGAATAGTCCTCACAGCAACCCTGTAAGAGCTACCTCAACTCCTTCCCAAGAGGGGATCTGGTCAAACAAAACAGGACCACTGGTCAGCTATCTGCAGAGCAGAAGAGTAGGCCTACTTTGCTGCTCTTGCTGCCACTGAGCAAGTTGTGAATAAAGGCTCTTGCTGTTCACTGTCAGATTTGCTCTTTGTCTTCTTCCAGCAGTGCTGTAGGTGTCTATTGTGACATTTCATCTCCTGGACTTTTAGAAAACTATGGGACTCTATGGGATTCCCAGTCACAGAAAGTCCACACAGGTGTAATCCAGTCTAAGGCTGTTGTCACCTGCCCATTCCAGACAGTGACTAAGGTCTCAGCTAGAAAGTGCAATAGAGTTTCAGGAATAACCCCAAATTCCCTTTGAAACCCAACTGGATTCATCAGTCACCTGGGAGGGACCAACTGAATAGGTACTTCCTCCCTGAAGTGGGGGGCAGCCACAGAGAACTCCAGAAATAGAAGGGAGGGACAAGGAATTGATATTTATATCCCCCACCATCAGATCATGTCACTGCTGCCCCGAGACAAAAAGTCCAGAGTGCAATTTCTGCTGTGAATCAGGGTATCAGTAATTTGGATCATATCCATAGTTATATGAATTCTTGAGCTGCCTTTGACTCCAGGCCCAAAGAAGGCAGGTTGAAATCCTCCAGAACCATCAGTCTAGGGAACTCCACCACCAACCTGGCCACAGAGTCAAGGAGCTTGGGCAGGGAAGCTGCTGGGCAGCAGGGAGACTGGTACTTGAGCAGCAAACTCATCTGATCCTTACAGCCCAACTTCATAAACAGGGTCTCACACTCAAGATATGTCTGGAGCATCACCTGTAAAAGCTTCCAGAAATTCCCGGATGACCATAGCCATGTCCTTATCTGTGCCTCGGAGTCATGGCTGATGCCACTTCTGATTCCCAAGAGGGCACATTTCCAAGTGCCACCTCCTCTTCTGTGTCCAACCAGGTTTCAGTAATGCATACCAGGTCAGTCCTCTCATCCAAGATTAAATCATGAATAAGATGGGACTTATTACAGGCTAACTGTGCATTAAGTAGCAACAGACGGAGACCAGAGCCACCAAAACTCCAAAGACTAGGATTTGGGGCTGAGCACAGGGGTCTGGAATGCAGCATCAGTATTAAACCCCCCAATGCCCCTCCCTCTCTCACCTGCCATATCTTTCCATGCCTGTTACCACCTAGATGTTCTTGCCTGCCCATTCCTCCCTCACAACATCCAGTCCCTGATCCTCGGCTACCCTCTTCCCAGGAATAGGACTCCATTACAACCTCCATAATACCATCTATAGAAAATAGGCAGCAACCCCAACATCTAGGTCTTTCTGTTAATAATTCAGCAGACCTTATCTACTTCTCATCCTCCAGTCAAACATCACCCAATCACACCATCCCCCAGCAACCTGGCTCTTACCCAGATTGTCAGGGAAGAAAACCTCAACTCTTAATCAGGCTAGATGGGCCCAATCCACTCCTCTTTCATCTCACACCTGAGAAGAGCAAACAGTTCCAACTCCACACAGCCTCCTCTGTCTAAAGCTGAAAAATCTAGTTCTTCTCCTTCAGTCCTCTGGAATTGTAAGATTAATGGCTTGTGTGGATATTTAGATACAAAAGAACCTTTGAAATGCAAACTGTTGGCCATTATCAGTTACATTCTTTTGGAGAAAGAGGTGTTTCACATAACCAAATGAATTCTGGTTTCATTTCTTTAAATATTTTAGATAATGAGATTTATTGAAGTTAAAAAACATTTTTGAAGTCTAGAAGTCATAAATTACTTTGTTGCTTACATTCATTATTGAATGAAAAGCTAAATTTCAGTTAAAAGTTAGTGAAAATACAGTTGTAATTTTTTCCCCATCCAAGTTCATAGCATACAGTCACCGGGAGATTCACAATCGATGGGGGGGGGGGGCCGTATAATTACCCTCACCTAAACTGGATACATTCATGCTAAATGACTGTCAGCCAGAGGGGAAGCAAACCATTTAATGTCAAATGGTTACTGTGATCTGGTATGAGATGTAAGTATTGTGGAACCAATAGGAAATCATGACCATAATGCTTAATATACATACAAATGGGAAAGTACCAGCAGGGTCCAGTACAGAAGGATTTGACTATAAAATAGGAAGCTCTAAAAAAATAAAGGGCATTTAAGCTTTTAAAATGGTTTTATTTCAGTGAGCGTTTGGCTCATAGGGAGATTGTGGATGGCCATCTGATTACAGTGTTATTATTTTATTATTAATGTTATTATGTGGTATTATGTTGTACATGCTTTAGAAATACTGTAAAATGCAATAATAAATAAATATTCTAATCTTGAGAGGTTACACGGTAATAAATCATATAGTCTTTTTTAACAGTAATTTTATTAAAGACTACAATTGCAACAGTAAAAATTAATACAAACTAAAAAAAATAAATAGAAAAAATAGAAGGTGCAGAAAAGAAAGAAAGAAAAGAGAAAAATAGAGAAAAATAGAGAAAAATAGAGAAAAATAGAGAAAAATAGAGAAAAATAGAGAAAAATAGAGAAAAATAGAGAAAAATAGAGAAAAATAGAGAAAAATAGAGAAAAATAGAGAAAAATAGAGAAAAATAGAGAAAAATAGAGAAAAATAGAGAAAAATAGAGAAATAGAAAAGAAAGATAAAATAAGAATATGGTTAAGAAAAAGAAAAGAACTATATAAAGAAGTGGCTTTTCCCTTCATCACAACAAGTATAAACAATTTTA